CATGGGAATCGCAGCAGGAAGCCTCAGGTAATGCGGAGAAGGCGTGTTTGGAGACGGGGACAGCTGGTAGATTGAGAGTGAGGGGTCCACGTTCCGCCTGCGTTAGATAGCAAATGAATGCATTGATCTCACTACCGAATCGTACTGTTTGGGTCTCGCGATTCGAATGATATCATTTGAAACACCTAATGAAATGTTGAGCTGACACGTTAAATTCCTGTGCGATTGAAGAGATTAGAGTATTTGCTTACGCTTGGTGTCCTGATTACGCCGGTCTCTCGCTAATGCATTAATGGCCGTATCTCACAAACGGGCATTTTTCTGTAACCTTATTATAATCTTATACAGACTTACAAAATATCAATGGAGGGACGGGTCAGTCCACTCCCGAATCGTCACTCACTGTCAGTGCCCATCCGTCTGCCTCAGGCTCCCTTCCTGTTGGAACGCTGCTTCCGGTTTCCGCGGGAACAGCCCTGGCTGTCATTGTGTCATAAACACAGGGCAGGCCCTTGTCCTGGAGCCTGTCCTTGGCTCCCCTCGCTATGGGCCCCGGCCTGTACAAATTAACCTGGCAGCCGGACTCCAGGCCAGGTCTCTTTCTGCCCGATGACGCCGCACCTGGGGAAAAAACACCCTCCTTTCAGTTCCGTTGCTGTGGGGATGCGGTCGGCTGAGCGACAGCCCCCCCGAGCTGTCTACGCCCTAGTCCCGGCACCCGTGAACATGCCACTCTGTCTGGTAACAGGGATTGTGTGGGTGAGGTTCAGGTCAGGGCCTAGAGATGGAGACAGGAACGCTGGCTGCCCCGGGTGGACCCACACTCACCATGAGTCCTTTATGGAGGCCTCCCCTGGATGCAGCTTCAGGAGCCCCGGGCCACGTGCCCCGTCACCAGCGTGGCCAAGGNCCACGTGCCCCATCACCAGCGTGGCCAAGGGGACCTCAGTCCCGCAGCCGGGGGCACAGGGATTCTGCCCCTGTCTGAGCCAGCGAGGGCACAGAACATCCCCGCCATCTCCAGGACAGAAGGCAGCCCTGCCCGCCTTGACTTGGCCCTGGTGAGACCCAGATGCCACCGTCTACCCCTCGGGATCCTAAAGGCGCCACGTGTTAAGCCTCCGAGCTTGTGGTAATTTGTTACTGCAGCGACAGCCAACTGTTGCAAGAAGTAAACGTGTTGTTTTCTTCCCCGTTTCCTTTGTTTTGGATAATAACGATTCAGAGAATTGGTGTAATTACTTGAGTTCATTGAACAGAACAGAAGTAGCTGACGCAGATGCGGAATACCCCGGAAGGCGCGTAACTGAACAGTTCGCCGTGATCCTAGGTCATACAAGAAGCTTTGGAAGGGTTAGTCGAGCGCTCTCACCGTTTCAGAACCGAGAAGAGGCGGGATGCCCAGGGCCTTGGGAGCAGGTGGCGGCTGTGAAAACGGGTGAGCTGTGTGCTGGAGCGCTCACGGGCACTGAGCTCAGCAGAATCAGACCCGGCGAGGACGGGGCAGTGGGGCGGAAAACGCGCCGGGGAAAGGAAAGGACCCCCTTTCTGAGGACCCGTGTCATCGAGCTTGTCCCGACTAAAGGTGAGGCCAGTAGGAGCCCCTGCCTGAGGTCTGCAGCCTGAGATGGGTGCTCTGAGTGTCTAGGCCGGTGGGCAGGGGGCAGAGGAAGCCGCCTGCCAGCCCCTCCCATCCTTGGGCAGGGACGGGAGCATCGTGAGTCCCCCAGGCCGAGGGCAGAGCTCCGCAGGTGTAAGGTGAGCCTCTCGGGAGCTGAGCATGCCTGGCCCGCACGCACGGCCTTGGGTTTCCTTCACGGTCTGCAGAGTCTGTAGATGAGGGAGACACAGAGACAGAGAGACGCAGAGACAGAAGACAGAGGGACTGAGATGAAAACAGGCCGAGTAGCCCCTGTGTCAGCCGGCAGACTGTAAAGGAATGTGGGCAAGGCGCAAACCCTGGTGATGGGAGCGGCCACGGGGCACTTTATAGGTACTTTCACCTTTACCTCATTTGTCCCCTTACTGATGTTTTAAAAAATGTGCGGTTCGCCTGGCCGGTGTGGCTCAGCGGTTGAGCATCGACCCGGGATCCAGGAGATCGGGGTTCGATTCCCGGTCGGGGCCCAGGCTGGAGTGGTCGGCTCGGTCGCCAGCAGGGGGCGAGCAGGAGGCAGCCCATGAATGACTCTCCTCATGGATGGTTCTCTGTCTCCCTCTCCCTTCCTCTCTCTGAGATCAATATATTTAAAAAAACACGAGGCCCTTCATGACCCACCAGCTGCCTGCTACCTTTATTAAAGGCAGGGCGTCCGGATATCTGAAAATCCAGCCAGAATCCTATAGCTTCAAGGGCGTGTGTCTGTGTCTGTGTCTCTGTGTATTTGTGTGTGTGTGTGTCTGTCTGTGTCTGTGTCTGTGTCTGTGTCTGTGTGTGTCTGTGTCTGTGTGTGTCTGTGTGTGTGTCTGTGTCTGTGTGTGTCTGTGTCTGTGTCTGTGTGTATCTGTGTGTGTCTGTGTCTATGTGTGTGTGTCTGTGTCTCTGTGTATTTGTGTGTGTGTGTGTCTGTGTCTGTGTCTGTGTCTGTGTGTGTCTGTGTCTGTGTCTGTGTCTATGTGTGTGTGTCTGTGTGTGTCTCTGTCTGTGTCTGTATCTGTATCTGTATCTGTGTGTGTCTGTGTGTATCTGTGTCTGTGTGTCTCTGTGTCTGNTGTGTCTGTGTCTATGTGTGTGTGTCTGTGTGTGTCTCTGTCTGTGTCTGTGTCTGTATCTGTATCTGTGTCTGTCTGTGTGTATCTGTGTCTGTGTGTCTCTGTGTCTGTGTCTGTGTGTGTCTGTCTGTGTCTGTATCTGTGTCTGTGTCTGTGTGTGTCTGTGTCTGTGTGTGTCTGTGTCTGTGTCTATGTGTGTCTGTGTCTCTGTGTGTCTGTGTCTCTANGTGTCTGTCTGTGTCTGTATCTGTGTCTGTGTCTGTGTGTGTCTGTGTCTCTGTGTGTCTGTGTCTCTGTGTGTCTGCGTCTGTGTCTACTTTAAGCCCCTTCTCCCTGCAGCCTTGGATTATTGCTTCCGGGACGCCCCCCGGGACTCACGTGGACCCGTCACTCCCTGACAGGGACCCCTGGGACGAATCATGCCGGAGCCCCTAGTTGCTCAGCTGTGAAATGGACCCGATAAGCTAACCGGTGTGGCTGTAAAGAGTAAATTAAAAAAGCACAGCAAGTGGGTTCTCATACCACAAAGCCCTATAGACACGTGGGCGATGGATAATATTTCGTAAATAACGAGCGAATACGCCCTGGCCGGTGTGGCTCGGTTGGTCGCGCGTCACCCAGGCGCCGGGAGGCGGCCGGTTCGATTCCCAGCCAGGCGCATGCCAGGGCTGCGGGCTCCCTCCCCAGCAGGGGGCGCGCAGGAGGCGGCCAGCGTTTCCTCTCTCTCCCTCCCTCTCCCGTCCTCCCTCTCTCAAAATCAATAAGCTATTCTTTAAAAATAAAAACAGATACAGAAGAATGCAGCACTGGTCAGCACCCGGCGTGTCCGCCCGCCGCAGCTGTGTTCCTGCAGGCTCAGTCGCTCGCACCCGTCCTGCGTTCGGCTCTTTCCCCTCCCTCTCCCCTCTGTTCACGGGCCGTGTGCTGACCCGCGGCTGGGATGTCTCGGGACCTGGATCTCGTCCCCGTTTGGCCCTGTCCGGGCCTCGGATGTCACCCGTCTCCACCACGGCCCTTCTCTTGTGAAAGCAGCGGGATGATTCCGACCGAAACGATGATAATTCACGTCCCTTTTTTAGTGGCGTGAAAAGCATCCTTTCACTGGGCGGCTGCAGCGACCGTCGGCTATTTTCTGAGAACCTCAGTTGACCAATGGTGTGGCCCAGAGAGCCGTTTTGTTTGGGGCTTGGCTTCCGTGGCGCCCTGGGTCTTATCTCCACGGCGATTCAGCTTAGCCCCGCAGACTGGAAGGTGATTCCCTCCCAAGTGCACACGTTGGATCCCAGCTCCCCTGTGGTGGTGTCAGGACGTCCGGCCCGTGGGAGGCCGTGAGGCCACGAGGGCGAGGCCCCACGAATGCGGTTAGTGCCCTTGGAAAGGACGCCCCCAGAGAGCTCTTGCCCTTCCACTGCGCAGGACACAGAAGCGGGTGCTCAGCAGACCCTGAATCTGCTCACCCCTAGACTTCGGAGCCCCCAGGAGTGTGAGAAATAAATTCCTGTGGCGTCTAAGCCACGCAGGGTATGGGTTTCCTCTGGCAGCTCAGGAGGCCCGAGAGAGGAAACGGGCACCGAGCCGTCGGCTGCTGCCGTAAGAAATGCCTGCCGGCGAGACGGGGGTCATGGGCGGGGCTCAGAGACTTCTGGGGTGCCTGCTAGAAACACCCTACATTTCCGCAGACGGTTCTGCGGAGGCCCCAGAGGGAAAGGAGGGGAGCGGGAGAGCCTCCGGCTCCTGAGGACCCCGAGTGGTCCTGAGTGGGCAGGACAATGGCAGGTGGCAGCCGGTCCACGGAGGCCTCAGGCGGAAGTGAGATGTTCTCAGACAGGACAGGCCGTCCTCAGACAAAGCGGCAGAGCTTAGCCCGGTCGGGTGTCTGTCCTGGCATTTCGTGGGAGGCGGGGTTGGTGGGAAGAGAAACGGTTTTTATTTTTTCTTTCTCCGTCCCTCCCTCCCTTCTACTCTCTAAAAATCCTCAGGTGAAGATTAACCAAAAAAAATACACCAAAAAAACCCAAAATAAAGTCACAGCTCACATCCGCCGCTAAGCAAGATGATTTTGAGACGGGCTGGGCGCCGCTTGTCTGTTTCAGACAAAGCGCCCAACGCTCCGTGTCTGAAGCAGAGGCCCCGCGTGGCCTGCGGTGGTCTTCGGGCCGACGTGCATCCCCCGGGCAGATAGGCCGGGCGGCCTCCGTGTGGAGCCCTGTCTGTCTTGCGGAGAAGCATCCTGCCCCCGTTACTGCGACGTCCTGAGTCCCCTTGGGCGTAGCGGGGGCTCCTGCAGCCAGATCTCGCATCCAGCTGCCCGGAGGTGAGGTGACGCCAGAATTCAAGATTGGCCGCTGTCTTGGGGAGACCGGGGAAGATAAATCGGAATCCGTCTCTGAATCCCAACGACGCCAGCAGGTTCTGAGTAAACGGCCGGCTTCTCGCGAAACTCCGCCGTAAACTTGGGCGTAGATGACACGTGTTCAGAATGCATTCCTAAGGGAGCCGGGCCGTGTAATTCTCCAAACACCCCTTTTCTCTCAGACGCGAGGTGAAGACAGCCGGTGAGAATGTGAGCTGTGCATGCACTTGGCGGTCTTCTACAGGCTCGCTCCAGGACGCCGCTGACGTTTATTTGTGTCGTGGCCTATTTAGTAAGCACGCAACGAACCCCAAACCCGGGCTTTACCGTTCGGGTGACGCTGAAGGTGCTGAGCCAAAGGATGGGGCCTGGGAGGGAGGGCGCTGCTTTCCCCGTCGGTAGGGCCAACCCACACAGTCGGGGGGCCCGGGGGCTCAGACACCCCCACGGAGACCCTCTGCTCGGGATGTATTGAGATTTCTCGCTGAGAACCACCGCACTGGGAGAACCCCGAGGGAGACAGGTAACAGTTACAGGGTGCAGGCCTCCTGTTCCTGGGCGGCCTTAGAACGTCAGTGTATCTCCTTCCTTAGAAAACCCCGCTTCCTTGCAACAAAGTTGCTGTGAGCAGACCACGAGCAGCCGCTCCGTCCTCAAGTATCGAAAGCTAATTTCCCACGAAACCTGCTTCGATCCGCAGAGCGGCAGCCGGCGTCAGGGCGGACACCCCCCGATCGGGAGGTGACAGGCGCTTCCCGGCCCCTGCGCCCCGCGTCACGCACGGCGACTCTCGCCGTCCCTCTCGGCAGGACAGTAATTGGACAGCGTTTCTCAGCCAAACACGTCGGGAGCCCCGAGCCCTGACTGGCGAACCGCACAGTAGACTCTGACACAGGGAAAGAAACCGCGTAATTCTGGTTCTGAGAGGAGGGTTTGTTTTTTTTGTTTGTTTTTTTTTTTTGCAGTGACATGAATCACGGTGTTTATAGCGTCTGGTTGTGTGAAGACCCGTGAGCGCTGTCATTTCTCAATGTGTGCGCTGGCCGCGAATCTTCCCGTGGCTGCCGTGGATGGGGTGCGTTCCCCGAATGCCTCCGGGGGGCAGCCAGGCCGCACTTAGAAGACACGCCTGGGGTCGTGATGTTTTAAAGCTGCAGCTAATTGTTGCTTCTGTGCCTGGCTGTGCAGGCCTTGCCCTGCCTAATGCCAGCGGGTTCATGTCCCACCGGCCGGAGGGTCACGGAGGCAGCCTGGCCCCTGGCCGCGGAGGGGGGAGCAGCAGGGGCGTCCAGCCCTAGGCGGGTGCAGAGGGGCCGACACTGACCCTGACTGGTTCCCGCGCCGTGGAGCAGGGAGACCCTCCCCTCAGGGGGCTTGGGCACTGGGGAGCCGGGAGACCCGTCGGAGGAGCGGACCTGCCCCAGGAAGCGGCCGCCCCGTCCCGCACACGGCGCGGACATCAGGGCTTCCCGCCGCGTCCGCTGGGATCGTCCTGCGGAGGCCCGGCTGCGCCCTGCCTGGCTCTGCCCTTTCGTCTTACTCCAGACGCACAGCCTTTGAGAGCTGACCTCGGAAATCACGGCCCTGACACTGCTTCCCGGGGGCAGCGCCCTCGGAGGCCTCACCAGCACGGACCCAGTGACTCGCCAGCCTGTTTGGGGGCCAGCGTGACCATTTCCAAGTGCGCCCAAAGGAACCCTGGCGAGTAACGTGTGCACGCCCGACACGCTCAAGAATTTCCGCTTAACTGAACTCGCATCTTGTAACAGCCGGGCTGTCTACAGTCAAAATGCCCAGTTTGCTCAGGGGAAGTCGAGGGACATGAGAACACGGCACTGTACATCTCTCTCGCTAATATATATATATCTATTATATTTATACATATCTTATATATGTATTAGAGAGAGGGAGACATTGATGTGAGGGAAACATTGCTCGGTTGTCTCCTGCAAGGCCGGGATGGAACCCACACCCTGGGCATGTGCCCTGACCAGGAATCGAACCAGCGCACAGACGATGCTCGACCACTGAGCCACACCGGCCAGGGCTGTCCTACCTCTTTAGGGTCTTTTCAGAGACTCACTGTGTTATCTTCGACTTAAGCGTGTCCCATTGGGTACTCGAAATATGCATAACTTATTTAAATTTTTTGTAGCAATTCAAAAAAAATTTTTTTAAAAACATAGACTTCTGTAGCAACCTGTCGCCTGAGCCTGGCTGCCTGTGTTAACGAGCCATTTCTCTATTCCCCCGCCCAGGTCCTCTTGGCCAGCAGCTTCGTGCCCATCTATGCGGGGCTGAGACCCGTGGAGTACAAAGGGCAGGTAATGTTCCCGTAACCGACGAATTGTCAGGAATTCCCGTATCGACACAGTTCCTTTATTTTTTTTTTTAATTTTATATATTGATTTCAGAGAGAGGCAAGGAGAGGGAGAGAGACAGAAACATCAATGATGAGAGTCATTGATCGAGCCCACAACCCGGGCATGTGCCCCGACCGGGAATCGAACCCCGATCGCCTGGATCCTAGGTCGACGCTCGACCGCTGAGCCACGCCCGGCCGGGCTCGACACAGTTCCTTTAGAGAATCCAATTTTATCCTGATTTGTTCTGGCGGCTCCAAATCCATGTATAGGATTTCTTTCCATACAGAGTTTTTGTTTCTGATGACACAGAGTAAGAATCACATCCAGGGGCTGTGGCCCCTTATTATCACGATCTCGCCGTTGCGAATGGATGACTGGGATGCTCCTCTTCACATCTACATAAAATTCATGCTCTTTTTTAATTTTTATTGGGGAAAGTCCCAGTCCCAGTCCCTTCTGGCCAGAGGTTCAATGTAAACATACTGACTGTTTTCCTGTATTGGACATAAAGGGCTCCAGGACCATGACCGCAGGCCTGGGGCCAGCAGCGGGCTTTGCTTTGAGCACATTTTGCTGGGAGTGTTTTTGTGCTTTTGACCTCCCCTTTCCTCTGAGGATGATGGTGCCACGTGCTCAACAGGCCCAGGGCAAGACCAGCATGGGCCGAACGGCAGGTTCTTGTCCTGGAGGGAGGTCGGGGATTCCTGCGAGCTCCTGGCCGCAGCTCCCAGCTGGTGGAATGTGGCCCCTGAGGGGGGAACGCGGGAGTGACCTGTAAGAACACGTAGCAAACAGCAGACATGCCTGCACAGAGGTGTTTAAAACGCAGGCCTCTGTGCTATCCGCAGCTCACGAGGTGTCAACTATCCCCGCTTTTATTTTTTTAAAATATTTTTTAATTGATTTTTTTTTAGGTTTTTAGAGAGAGAGGAAGGGGGAGAGAAAGAGAGAAACATCAATGAGAGAGAAGCGTCGATGGGCCGCCTCCTGAGCGCCCCCTACTGGGGACCGAATGCCCTGATCAGCAATCAAACCAGCAACCTCTAGGTGCATGGGTCACACTCAACCACTGAGCAACACCGGCCGGGCTATTTCTACTTTTCATGTAGAGGTGAAACGAGCGATTGCTACCTGATTGCTGTTTCCAGAAATTCTGCTGGAATCCCCCGGGGTGAAGGTGTGGTTTGGGGAGCCCTGTGGCGCATGAGACTGTATGTCACTCAGGAGGAAGATGCCACACGGAGGGTGCCCGGGCTGCTGTGCCAGGGTGGCCGGGGGCAGGTGGCACTGCACATTTAATCAAGCACTTGGGAAGATGTGTGCTTCCTAGTCATTTATCCAATCAGAGCAGCTAAGGAGAGCAAACAGAATTTGGAAACAACGTTTCCTGAAACAGCCGTCATTAACGGCAGCAAATTGGGACGCTTTCAGCTTAGCCACCCGGGTGGCCTCTGTCCTCAGTAGAAAAGTCAGGTGAGCTCCTGCTTAAGGTGTCCGACACGTGGCACGAGCTTCTCTCTCCCCTCCCTTGATGAAATCTATGCACATTTTACATCATTTTTGGTGAGACATTCTATTGAGAACGTGAAACAGAATTTTGGAAGGTGCCTTTTACTTTTTTCCTGCTAGATGTTAGCCTATTCTAGAAATTGGTGTCCACGCCCAAAAACCAGAAGAAAAAAAAAAGAAAAGGGAGCTCTGGGGCAATAGGGCACAGAAGCAGATATTTTGGGGCCTTCTTGTGGTAAACCTCCTTTATTCAGTGTTTACACAGCCACACACACATATAGGGTGTCCCCCCAAAATGCACACACGCTTTTTTCCTGATTGCTCAATGGACGTTCCTTTCTTTTCAGATTTAACCCATTGTAATTAAAAATTATTCCAAATGTGTGTACATTTTTTGGGACACCCCGTATGAGCATGCATGGACATGTAGCTCATATACACACAGGTGACTGTGCCGTGTTAAATGCACACAAACACATGGATATGTGTCCACATAATCCATGTAACATCATTACGTCATAATGTGTGTTATGTTCTTTTAAAAATAATGACAGTACACAGATCTTCCAGGCCCGGTTCATTTTCATCTAACCTACCCATGTTTTCTCCCCGACCAAAAGGCAATTCCCTCAAAAAAAACCCAAAAACATGTTCAATCCGTTTTCACTGTTTATTTAGTTTTATTTCCTTTCGGAGAGTGGGCAGCCGCCCAAGGCCGTTGTAAACAGTGCGGTACCCATCTCATAGTCCCCGGCGTTAGAAATAACAACAGGTAAGAAAGACATTTAAAAAAAAAGACGCCGGAGAGAAAGGGCGTGAGCCGTTTTAACTGACTTCCGGACGTTGTATCGTAACTGCCTCCGCCCCCTCGCTTCACCTCTGGGCACGTAGCCGGCTTCGCTTTCCCACATCACCTTCAGATGTTCACGTGAAACTCAGTGTCCAGGCTTCTTTGTGAAGGCTTCTCAACCATGACCGGACCCCTTAAAAAATATTTTTATTTTGCGTATCAGTTGAAGGATCTTTCAATGACAGATACGCCTTGTGGAACTCGCACCTGTTTTGTGTGTTTGCTTATTGCTGGAGCCGAGTACGTCTCTACATCAGCTCAAGGCTGGGTTGAGGCCCTGCCTCGAAATACAGAGAGGGAGGGGCGTGGTGCTGCGTCCGTTGCCCACCCAGCATCTCCTGCTGCAGGAGCCTCCAGAGCTTCCCGCCTGCTCTGTCCACCCCTCTCCTCCCAGCGTGGCTCCCGTGGCTCCCGTGGCTCCCGTGGCTCCCGTGGCTCCTGTGGCTCTCGTGGCTCTGAGCGCCCAGGCTGCCTTCTCAGCGGCGCTGCTTTCTAGGGAGCACCTCCCGTTCTATTTGGCTTTATAACCTCATGTGCTCGGGAGCCGCTTAGGAAGGAGAAGGATTTCTGGTGGTTCCGTTTCAGTTTGCAGCGGAAAATGCTGATTTCCAGTTTGCATAATGAAATTGAAATGTGTTGCCCAGGGGCTGAGCATCGCCCGGTGCTCCAGGGAGCCGACGGTCCCCTTCCCGGTCAGTAGGGGGCGTGCAGGACGCAGCCCATTGATGTTTCTCTCTCTCCCTCTCCCTCCCTCTCCCTCTGAAAAAATCAATCTAAAAACATTAAAAAATAACTAAAATAGTTTAAAAAATTGAAATGTGCTGTGGTGGGGGATGGTGTGTCCCGTGTCAGAGGGGAACCTGGCCTTCCCCGCTGGTCAGGAACGCGTCCCAACCCAGCTCCACGTGGCTTCTGACGCATGTAAGTCATCAGGACAAACTGAGGGCCATCGTATCCAAAACGACCGAGCTGAGGCTTCTTAGCCCTTGGAAGCTTCCCCGGTTCTGCCAGGTTCTGCTCATATGGGCCTGTGATATGGGTGCAAACATCTGTTTAGCTTCCAGAACAAAATCCCTGTTGGATGAGCCCCGGATACGTAGTAATTTAAGAGCACATCCCAGGCCCGGGCTGCGTGAGGACAGAGCCCTTCCCTTCCCGTCGGCGCCGGGCGGTGGCTGCCCTTGACCAAGGGCGTTTCCTTCCACAGAAGTGGGTGGACGGCGGCCTCACCAACAGCCTGCCCGTCCTGCCCGTGGGCCGCACGGTGACCGTCTCGCCCTTCAGCGGCCGGCTGGACATCTCCCCGCGGGACACGGGGCAGCTGCCTCTCTACGTCAGCATCGCCAAGCAGGACCTCGCGGTGAGTCACGGTGCTGCCTGGCGTTTGCAGACTTCACCCAGAATCTTCCACGCGCCCCCCAAACTGGGGGAACCCATCCATAATTTTCTGCACAAACTACATCTTCTCAGTGGTATTTTTTTTTGTTGTTTTTTTTTTAACACTTTACATTGTGCCTCCTGCATATGGACCTCAGCACCTGTGGACCGAGTGTGTTAAGTCTGACAGCTTAATACCCGTCTATCGGGAACCCCGTCCTGTTGCTTCAGTTCTTTCTCGTGTCCATACACTTGGCAGGATTTCGGGGCCCTTTTAAGTTAGATCATTTATTCATTTCAAAGGCGACAGTCATTGAGTATATAAAGATATTGAAGAAAAACGTAGGGACTCAGCTGAATAATTTACCTGAAAATATTAATTGCCTTCCTCTAGCCCTCCACGGGGGGGGGG